CAAATAACACAATCTTCTTTGCTGAAACTAAAGACCTGAAGCACCTGCTTCAAAAAGTCAAGAACTGTAGTTTTCAATATGGATGGAAGCTCAACACTAAGAAGACAAAGAATCTCACCACTGGGCCAACTGGCAGCACCATATTAGATGGAGAAGTGATTGAGGGTGTTAGCAATTACAGCTTGCTTGGATCCACAATCAACACTCAGCAGCCAGGAAATCAAAAGACAAATTGCACTGGGAAAATCTGCTGTCATGGACCTCTCCAGAGTGCTGAAGAGCAATGATGTCATCTAGATACAAAGGTGAGCCTAATACAGGCCATGGTCTTCTCAATTACTTGTTATGCTTTAGAGAGTTAGGCAATGACTAAGGATGACAGAAGAAGAATAGATGCCTTTGAGTTCTGGTGCTGGTGAAGAGTCTTGAATATACCGTGGACTACCAAGAAAACAAACAGGTCTTTCTTGGAGAGGATGAAGCCAAGTCTTCCCTCGGAGGCTAGGATTTTAAAGCTCTGCCTCACTTACTTTGGGCATGTAGCCAGGACAGATTGGTCCTCGAAGAATGGCATCATGCTCGGAAGGGTGGACGGACAGAGCAGGAGAGGGAGACCCTGGATGAGATGGATTGATACAGTAACTGGGGCACTGGGGGTTGGTGTGTCAGAATTAATGAAACTGGCTCAGGATAGGGAAGGGTTCAGAGCTGCTGTACATAGGATCATTATGCATCACAGGCAATTCGACCAATAACATTCTATGACAGGTTTGGAATAAAGAGTGGCATCCACTTCCTAAACAACATGCCTCCAGAAACTCTAAACTTTGATAAATGTTGATGGTTATACAGGGGCTTCAGGCCTTTTGTTCATGGGGTCGCTATGAGTTGTGCTCGACTCAAAGGCAATCAACAACAAAAACATATGATTGACTGTATGAAACACTGTGTAATTGAAACATTGTATAAAAGATAATGCATATAAATAAATGTAATGTAAAGAAATTATTGTATGAAAATCATTAAAAAAATTTTTAAAACACTGACCACTGCACATCTCATAATTGAGTATATGACCCTAGGGAAAGCAGACACCCTTCAACATCTGTCAAATTTAAACTTGCCACAGGGATTCAGAAACATAGTTAACCAAACATAGCTGATTGAAAAACATTGGATTTCTGAGGCTATAAATCATAGGGAAGATTTTACCCATTTTTGGAGTTTATCTTTCAATATGAGTTTCCTAGCCATTGAATTTAACTTGACCACATGTATGGGCAGCAATATGCGAACAGAGTGTATTAGCTTATCCATAAGAAAATTGGTTATCTCACCATTCCACAAGGGAACCAGCCAGTCTCACCAATCTACAAGGGGGTTGACTAGTCTTGCCAATAAATTGTGTGGCTCCAGTAGTTGATTGTTGTTGTGTACCACAGAATTGGAAATGATCCATAGCTGACACTCTGATGGGTTTTCAGAGGCTGTTAATTGTACGGGAGAAGATTGTCCAACTTTCTCCTAGTGGCCTCGAACCTGTGAGACTGCCCCTAGGCCACCATAGCTCCCTAGGAGCAGATTAGACCTTTCCCATTTAAAAAGGAGGAGGAGGGGGAGGGATGGAGAAAGAGAAGGGAGGGGGAGGAGGAGAAGAGGACGAGGGGGAGGAGGAGAGGAAGAGGGAGGACACCCTTAAGGATCAGACATCCTTGCTCCGACTACACCTATGGCAGCAGCAGCCGCCATAGCCAAAGCAGGGGACCAGAGAGAACTGACATGAGAAGAAACTGGCGCTACGCCCCAAAAACAGAACCATCACTAAGCTAAGATTCTTTGTTCAAGTTTGTTGGACAATTTGAGGGAGGTAGGGATAGCCAGTATTGGCAGGTCTAAGAACTTTCTAACACTGGTCTAAAGCTGTGAGGTTTAAGGTTGAGGTATCTGTGTGCCTTAAAATGTGCTGACATTATGCTGAGTGAAATATCTCAGTCACAAAAGGACAAATATTATATGGTGCCACTGTTGTAGAATGAGGCTGACATTGGGGTGGGAGTAGGACTGAGAAAAACTGGGTAAATTATGTTTACTGCATTGACGTCAATGAGGGAGAGAATTAATATATTTTAGGGCACTATGATTATCATAAGAGTCCGGAATGAGGTTTGCAGAATGGAGTATACTTGGGATGGGGGTGGGGATGTGCGGGGTTGGGGAGGGGATTGTGTACCAATGAAGGAGTAAAGAAAAAAAAAAACACATCCTGACAGTATTCTGCTACTAATCTGCGTTATAACCTTTTTACTTCCCTAAACATGGTTTGGTATGGTTTATGAGCTATCACATTGGATTTTGGAGCCTGAGTAAGATTGGTGTTGAAATGAGTAGAGAGAAAGGAGCATGGTGGACATGTCTAACCTCATGAGAACTGGTTTTGTGCTATTGATGCTGTTGATGTGGACAGTTCCCCTTTTGTGAAGTTGATAAAAGTCAGATATGGCCATCCCTACATGGCCCTTGCTATTTTTTACACCATCTTTCTCCCATGGTCAAGTCGAAGGTGTATTAGAACCACCAGAGCACAGAGGCATTGCCTTTTAATTAGCATGGTAACCCCCTCCAGATTGAGCCACCAGTTAGTTGTTTGTTTTGGTTTGTTGTTGTTTTCTTGTGTGTTTTTTTTTCTTGTCAGGTCAGAGATCCCATTAATTAAGATATAATTATATGGAAAGAAACATCCTTTTAATATTCTACAGATCCATCAACAGAGGACCTTAGTGTAAACTGGAATTATCTCCAGAACTAGGTTGGTTATTTAAACAAACTCATCTATGTGGTTCAGCAATAAATAGCTGCACTGCCAACCCAAAGATAGGTGGTTCAAATATACCATGTGCTTCACAGGAGAAAGGTGGCCAGTCTCTTTCCATGAGATTTACAGCCTGTGAAAACCCACTAAAATGCCAGATACGAGTTGACTCAGACTTGAGTCTATTATATGGAATATAACAACAACATACTGTAAGCTCCTGATTAAATCGTACAACTAAACAAGAATGTATAGAATGTATCACTAAGTCAGTAATTTTGGCTTCTTTGTACATTTCAAAGATGACACACATTATATTGATCTTGAGATTATTTGCTCCTTTGTAGTACACATTCTGCCTTTCCTCTCTGTTAGCGAAGAGGGTGAACTGTCTGTATTTGCTCCATTTCTCTGAGAGGCCTAAATCACCACGAGCAAATAGCCATTTATCCTTTAAGATTAGTCTCTACTACAAGTCTACAGTGAAATGATAATGCACTAACCTGTCTCCAGTTAATGGCAAAATAACAGTTGCTTGTGAAGAAAACACAATGAAAGATAATCTCATTTGAGGGCTGCAAAATAAAGAAAAGAGACAGTTAAAATGATTTTAAAAGAAATATTGATGCAATATAGAGACAAATAGAAAAGGAGTATCATTTTTAAATTGGTCTCTTGAATGGCACAGGCTTCTTTTAAATGGACACTCCAAGTAAATACAGTAACTCTGCTTCATGTTATTGCAAAAGTCATTTTGGATTCAGTCAATGCTTCTCAGCAGTGGAGTGGTCCTCCATTGCTCACAGAAACTTGGGAAATGACTAACTACTGTTGTTGTTGTTGTTTGTGTTGAGTTGGTTCTGACTCATACTGATCCTGGATTACTGAAAATATTTTACAAGGTTTCTAGGCTGAAATATTTATTATTGGAGCAGACTATCAGCTGCTGTCTCTTGGGGAGTCTCTGGTAAGTTCCAACCACCGATCTTTTTGGTTAGCATTTGACTGTGTAACCAATGAACTATCAGGGTTATATAGTCAGAAAGTTAAATTTGAGACCAACGTCAACTTCTTTCGTAGAAAATGTTTTTCATTTGGTATTCCATGTTGTTGTTGTTAGGTGACACTGACTCCTAGTAACCCTACGAACAACAGTCAAAACCTTGCCATATTCTACACTACCATCCTCACCAGCTCTGCCATGTTCAAGCTCAGGTCCTTAAAGGAGGTCAGATCCCACAGGGTGGTTCACACTCTGAGAACAATCAGTTTAATGTCACAAATGTGACATCAATCCATGCAAAAGTCACCTTCAAATAAGAGTGCTGAGTGTGCTGGGGAAATTGTAAAACAAACTAACAGAGCACATCTTGATTATGCAGTTTCTATTTCTTCCCAAGTCTCAAGCACCATATTTTCAACAAGCAGTAATTACTGCAGTCGGCAACATTTCTCAAATTTTGAGACACCTATCTCACATGTTCCTAGGACACACTTGATAGGGAGTTCTGATGGCCTGGTGGTAATAAGTTGTGCTACAAAGGCATATGGTTCAAATCCACCAGCTGCTCCAGGGACAAGGCATAGGGCATCTCAGCTATGAGTCGCTTCTAACTGGATAGTACAAAATTAACAACAACAACAACGGGACACATTATGTGACCATTTACTATGAACTGAAACCATAAACTGAAAATCTATAAGCTGAAAAAAGAATTTTCACAAAAACTTGCACACATTTTAAAAGACATTTTCTTACGCAGTTGCTTCTTACAATGCACTACTAGTAACTGAGTAAATGTTTGGAAGCAGGAGTTGCACCCACTTCCTAAATAACATGCCTCTGGAAACTCTATGAACTTTGATAAATGTTGATAATTGAAGAGGGGCTTCAGGCCTTTTGTTCATAGGGTCACTATTAGTTGTGCTCAACTCAAAGGCAATCAACAACAGCAACAACAACAAATTAAACATGAGTCAGACAACTGTGTACTCCAGAACTCCAATTTGCAAACAAAATTAAGTAAAACTCCTTTAAAATATCATTTTGAAACAATCAAAATCTATGTATCACATTTAGACAAGTTATACACACACTCAGAATAATCAGAAATTTAGAATATATCTATCTCTTTTGCCTTTTATATTTAAGAATATAGGGTCTTTTTCATTTTTCTTTCTTAAAGATTTTGTTACCTCAGATCTTGATCAGAAAAGAAGCATCGTTTGTCCTCTTAAGCAAGGGGCTAATTAATGACTTAACATGGACCAGCATACATTTTTATAGGGATAGGTTTACTGTTGCCAATAATTGAAAACAAAAATTGCCTAGGCCTCTACAGATTGTTTGAAGTTACTTGCAACATGACTTTCAAAATGTTTTGATCATCTAAGCCTGTTTTACAGAAAACATTTGGGCTAACAAGACTGAAAGAAGCAATATTTAATGATACAGCTCCTATTCATGTCCTTCCCATTATCTTGATAAATTTACATTTGCTCTTGGCATTTTATTTCCTACTAGAAAAAAAGAAAAACAAAACCAAACCTCAAAATTTTGGTTCTCTGGAACTATTTTTAAATAGGAGATACCACTAACTCCTAGTTTGGTCTAAAACAGAAAGCAAGACAGATAACGTAGCTTTTGTGCATTTTTTAAGGAGCTAAAACCAGCTTGTCCTGCTGTTGTTAAGTGCTGAGACGCACTTGAACAAAACCTGTCCAATCCTGTGCCATCCACACAATCTCTGTTGTCCATAAACCCATTGTTTCAGTATAGGTTCATCTCCCTGAGGGTCTTCCTCTTCTTCTCTGACCTTTTACTTTTCTGTACGTGACATCCTTTTCCAATAACTGGTCCCACATGATGATACCCAAAGTACATGAGACAAAGCCTCCCCATGCTTTCCTCTGAAGAGCACCCCCCCATACTTCTTCCAAGATAGATTTGTTTGTTTGTTTGTTTTAGCTCTGCTGCACATTCAACACTATTCTAAAAGAAAATTCAAAGGTGTTGATTCTTGTCTAGTCTTCCATGTTCACTGTCCAACTTCCACATTTAAAACAAGTGAAAATGTCATGGCTTGGATCAGGCAAATCATGGCCTTTCCTAATCAGGTTTACAGCATATATGCCCAAACCATCAATCTTTTGCCCTCAAGACAACATTAACTCACTGAGACTCTACAGGCATAAAAACTTCCCCTTTGGGGTTCCAGAACTTTAGTCTTCGTAGAAGCTGACTGTCATGTCTTTTTCTTATGGAAACAGTAGGTAAGATTGATGCTCTACATTTCTGTTCACAGGCAATTGCTCACCCCAGTGCTACCAGGACTCTTTACTGCATATATGAACCCCCAAAGTGCACTGACAATGAGTTAATTCCAATTTGCGGTAACCCTCCATCACACTTCCAAGGCTTTTAATCTTTACTAAAAGATAGCTCATCTTTTTTCCAAGAAGTTGGTCGATTTGAACTGCCAACCTTTCAATTAGTACCCTAACACCTAGTGCACTAAGTTTACTAGGGAACCTTTATTGAATATACAGAACAGTTACATTTTAAAGCCAGCTACACATCTACACATTGTGTAAACACAAATCCCTTCTTTAAACATACACCCAAGTGCCTTTTCCTGGCGGTGAGTTATAAATACAAGCTGATTTGAAGTTTTTTAACACTTCAATTATCTTTAATGAGGCTCTCTACAATACTAAGAATTGTGTGGAAAACACATTGTGGATACTATTAGCATAAAATTTATTTATTTAATGTGATAAATTATGAGAAAGCATAACTTAAATTCAAAACAGATGAAAATTTAGAAATGAAAAAGCATTTGGAATAGCATTTGAAGATGCTTTCCCAGAACTGGAGCCAAGTTTCTGGGATCCAGATGAAATATGCACTTAAATACTCAAAAGCTGTCCTATTAACATCATGTTAACGCAACAACCAACCTTTAGACAGTTTTCAAAAATCAGCACTTCAGGGGAGATTTCTTTGCATATCTACTGGGCTTCAGTTTACTTCCTCTCCAAGTCAAAGCCCCTTGTTAAGAAGAGTCACCCAAATCATAAAATATACCTTACAAATCTCTCAGTAAGTTGCTTGACAAAGTTGTAAATCTCAATCCAGTTATTTGCCACACTCCCCGACCTGAAAATAGACATGAACTGGTTAGAAAAACAAAACATAGGCTTGAAATGTAAACTTTTCAGACTGGTTCTCCTTCAACACCACCACCGGTGATATTGATGGTGGTAACCTGGCCTCTTCCTTCTTCAAGCAAGGATTCTGTCCCTGAAGCATAGGTACTAAGTCAGCTCATCTTTGGGGGGAAACTGTCTGCTAATGGTTCAGAGGAGGACATGGTGTTTCAAAGATAAATACAAAAATCTCACTCAACAGGAAATGCGAACCACACTGGGTATGCTAACCCCAAACTTTTCACAGCTGGGGGGAAAAAAGTGATGTGCTTGGAGAAAAACCAGACTAACTTTAGTTTACATGAGGAGAGGCATGAGTGTCGAGGATGAAGGCCAAAAAAGATCAACATTTAAATTTCTGCTATGCAGAGGGGAGCTCTGGTGGCCTAGAGGCATGTTGCCAACCCAAAGGCATGTGGCTCGAACTCACCAGCTGAATACCAGCCCAAATGACCATACTCTCATTTCTCAAGAGGTTCCAAGACTGGCAAGCAGTGCATATCCTAACACCCCAGACGACAAGAAAGTGGCTCACAGGGCCCCTCCTACCATCATCTCCTTATTCTGTCTTCAACCCTCACAAATCAGCGAGCACTCATTCTACAAACACAGAGAAAGCTTCCGAACAGCCAACAGCCTAGCCCCAAAATGCTCCAAGGACACACAATCCGATCCAGTGCCGCCCTCCTCAGGAGATCCTGGACCTCCTCCAGTACTCACTTGTCTAGCACGAAGTAGAGATCAAAGGCTCCTTTGCAGGATGGCTGCTGCAGGGATTGCTGTAAACCCGGGGAACCGCTGAGTGCCAGCAGCCACAACCCGAGAAACAAGCACCAGCTGGGGCTGAGGACCCGGGACTGCTCTGCCACCATCCTGCAGCCGGAGGGCCTGAGCCTCTGGCCCGCTTCGGTTCAAGTCGCTCCGTTCAACTCGCTCGGATTCGAAGTTGGCCGACCCCCAGGAGGGCGCACCCTGAGGTGGGTGCTGGTAGCCCCCGGGGCTCTGGCGCCTAGGGCCACGAGATTCACAGAGCGACAGGGGGAGGGAGGATCCTAGGAGGACAAAGAAATCCCCGTGGAAGCTCGAGCCAGGCCTCCCCCAGCTCGATTATGGAGAGTTCCTGCCGCCAGAAAGGGCTGGCGGCTACAGGTCGAAAAAGACTTTCCTCTCCGAGTCTGGCCGAGGGCTCGCTAGTGCCCACCGCGCCCCAAGACCAGAAGTCCCATTCCGCCCAGACGGCGGAGGGCCAGCCGCTCCCGCGCGCTGCTAAGCAGGCGTCCCTGGGACACAGAGAACACCGCGACACAAACTTCTCTGCCCCCTCGCGGGCCGCGGAGCTGCTCTTGCAAACTCCCCAGGCCGCTCCAAAACTTTCTTCCAGCTCTCGGCTGGAGAACAGCGCCGCCCCGGCCACCCCCTTTAGGAGGAGGAGATTGAGCGGGCCCAGAGGCTACCAGCTGTGGTGACCGCCCAGTCCACTAGTGCGCCCCAGAGCGAAGGCGGGGCTCCTCGGAGCCACACGCGTACACTGTTGTGTTCGTGCTCTCTTGGGGATTACTAACACTTGCCAGATTTTTGAAAGAGAAGTTTAGAAAAACAAAAGACCTCAAGGAGCCTTGAATGCTGCAGGCCTGGTTTGTTTCAGCAGCTGTGCAGGACAGCCTTCGGACAAGTTTATAGGCCAAAGACTACAGATTCCAAGCAAAGTGAAGGCGCCCTCCTTCTGCCCCACCCCCATTACCACCAGCACAACTTTTGATGTGCCGCCCCACTCGCGGAAGACTGGAACTTCCTCTTTTCTTTTCTTTTTTAAATTTGGCATTATCTCCCCTTTTGGGTTTTGTTTACATATAACCCCATTCTTATTTAGTCTATAGGCTGAGCAAGTCATTCCACAAGCTGGAATGCTTCTGTAAAGAAGAAGGTGGCATCAGGATCCCAGAAAGACTTCTCAACAACCTTCATGATGCCGACGATATGACCTTGCTTGCTGAAAATGAGGAGGACTGGAAGCCTTATAGAAAAAGACTACAGACTTCAACCCGGATTTCATCTCAACATTAAGAAGACAAAAATTTTCACCATTGGACAGAAAAGCAACATCTTGAATGTTTTTATTGCTGCTGGTGTTGTTGGGTGCCATCATGTCCACTACATCCAGAGGCCTTGTCTTTTGCCTGTTCCTTCGGAGCAGCTTGAACTTCCTCAATCACCATTGCTTTTTGATCATATATTGTTTCATGAAATTCTTCCGTGTCAGTCAATTCTTTTTTGGTATAGTAATTCTGTGTACTCCTTCCATCTTCTTTTAATGTTTCCTGGATTATTCAATATTCTTCCCATAGCACCTTTAAGTATTGCAGCTCCAGGTTTGAATTTGTTCTTCATTTACCTCAGCTTGATAAATTGCTTAGCATTATACTTGGAAAAGTATAGGATCAGCTAAAGAGAGAAAGATCCTCAACCAGATGGATTGACACAATGACTATAACAATGGGTTCAAATGTGCCAGAGATGATGAAGATGGCACAGGATGGATGAGTTCAGATCTGTTGTTTAGAAGGTCACCATGGGTCATAATCAACACGAAGACATCCTACAAAAACAACATAACTTCCAATCACTAAAATAAGAAAAATGTGAGGGGATCAGTTAGTATTCCATCACACTGTTGCTCAACACAAACACTAGCTATTAAGCCTGTGAACTATGGGGCAAGTGAGGTTGAACAGCTTAATTTTGTGTTAAGAAATGAAGTTACATGTAAATTCTCTGCTCCTTCATTCTGCTTTTCTGCAGAATGGTTACTCCCAGACGTGCAGTAGGTCCCTACACTGCTGAGTGCCAGCAGCCAAAACCCAGAAGAGAGAAGCTAGATCCTGGTGGACACCAATATCTCCAATTACTGAGATTTCTTGAGTACTTACTATGAGAGTTACAGTTAATATGCAGAATAGGTCCTTGTGTTCACAAAACTTGCAGTGTAGTTGAGGGGGGGATAAATAATTGGTATATAAATGTGTAAGAAATTTCTGATAATGAAAGGTAATTTGCAGAGGTTTAAAATGTGATCATGCGAAGGCTCAAAATCCTAGCAATTTGGAAACACTCTGCCATTTTCAATTCAGGACAACTCTGATGGTCTGTCATAGATTCAAACTATCCCCTGAGCTCAGCTGAGCAATAGTTTGCTATTACACCAGAGCTCAATTTTTCATCTATTTCAGTGTCTCCCTTACTTTATTGGAGTTGCACATGAAAGCATTGCCCTATTATACCTCTCACATGCAAATTTGGTATTTTCTGGACAAACCAGTCACAAATCCATGTAGTGATGATCATTCTCTGTTAGTGATTGACATGTTCTGTAGACATTATACAGAGATATCCATTTAGAAGGAATCACTCCTTTTAAGAGCATTTTTTCCCCACTTTCAGGAACTAGCTCAGACATTGGGGAAATTTTTGTTCTTTTATGATGATGTTATCATGTGTCATGGAATCAGAACTGACTCATATCTCATACTAAGTGAGATTTCAGAGGGAAGGCGTTGTACTGCCAACCCAATGCCAGGTAATTGACATTAGTGACTATACCTTCATTAAATCAAAAATTTTAATAAACCTTATCACCTATAGGAAATAAAGAGTTCTTTTCTTCCTCTGAGTCACTATACATATATCATTAATCACTCTACATATAATATGAACATGAATAACTTCTAGCATGGTGACTATCTGCTTTACTTCTGGTTTCATAGATATCAAACAAAAAAAAAAAAAAAACACTCCCACTAACTCATTGCCTTTGAGTTGATTCTGACTCTGGGAAGCCCTACATCGACTTTCAAGGCTATTAATCTTTACAAGAGTTAAAAGTCCATTCAATAAAGAAGGTAGTGCCTTTTTGGTAAATGGTGCTAATATAATAGGATTTCTGCAAATTCCCATGAATGCTACCCACCGTTAGTACATTGGGGGGGGGGGGGAAGCTTCAAAATAGATCAAGAACCCAAATGTGAAAACTATATACAATTCTTAGAAAAAGTTCGAGACTTGTGCCTGTGAAGACTACTTACTTAGTAAGGCATGCAGTTGAGAAAGATGGGCAGTCTGTTTTTTTGCTCTTAACTGCCTCTGAAAAGCCCCTGGAAAGTCAGCTACAACTCAATGGTACGTAACAGCAAAAACATGAGCAACAAAAGACAAAATAAGTCATTAGGGGCTCATAAAAATGGAACACTTTCGTTCATCAAAAGATTTAAAAAAAAAAGTGAAAAGACAATGTACAGTTTGGGAGAAAATTTTGGAGAACAATTTAATCAATAAAGGAGAACTGGTGGTATAGTAGATTAAGCATTGGACTGCTAACTAAAAAGTCACTAGTTCAAATCTGCAATGCTCCTGTGTAAGTAAGATGGAACAATCCTGCTTTTATAAAAATTATAATCTTACAAAGCTTGAGGGCAATTCTAGTCTGTCTTATTGGGTCACTATAGTTAGAATCAACCTTGATGGCAATAGGTTATATACCTCAGGAATTTTTCTATCCAAAATACATATAAACTCTCAAGCTCATTGCCATTGAGTCAGAAGTTATTCACAGGTGACCTCTTAGGTGCCATACAAGCGATTACAACTCACAGTGCCCCTATGAAGAGCAGATACAAACCTTGCCCTATCCTATGGTACCCTCACCTCTATTTGGTTATAAATCACACCAGAGAGCATTCCTTTTACTCTCTATGAGCAGCTGCTGAATGTGAAATGCCAGAAAGATGTTATTTTTAGATTAGCAGAACAACTTCCTATAGCCTACACCACTGGTGGGGGTTTGAGGGGGTCTGGGGAGGGCATTCTACAATTTAACAACAAAAAGAAAACAGCTCAATCAAAAAATGAATAAAAGACTTCAACAGACCTTTTAATAAAACTCACTGCCATCTTGTCAATTATCTCACTTTCCTCCTGCAGAGTGACTGCTGGATTTGATATGTGGCTTTTTGGTTAGCAGCCCAATGATTAACACGTGGCATCACCAATACTCATTATCACTTAATTTACCAGCAAGCTCAGTAAAAGATTCCCAGCATCATTGGTTGATCATTTAAAAAAAAAAAAATCCAAAACCATAAACAGGAACAAGAGAATAAAAGGCCTCAAACTCATAGCATTTGGGTCAAAATTGGCTCATAGCTGACCTTCTGGTGAGTTTTCCGAGGTTGTAAATGACACAGGATAAGATTACTTATCTTTATCTTTCAGAGTGGCTAGTGAATTCTAACTGCCTGACTTTGGTTTAGTAGCCCAACTCTGTACTCATTAAACATTCAGAGATGTAAATCAGAGCTGTAACACAATATCACCTTATTGCTACTAAGAAGGTGAAGATTAAAACAGACAAACTCAAAAGGAAAGAAAGGGCAAATGTTGGTATGTGAAGAAATAGGAAGTCTTTGCCATTGCTGTTGGGCATGCAAAATGGTACAGAGGTACAAAAGCCCAGTGGTTCTTCAATAAGTTAAATATAACATTACCATTTTTTGTTGTTAGGTGCCATCGAGTCCAGTGAGACTCACAGCGACTCTATGAACAAAAGGTCTGAACCGTGTTCTATATTGTGTCATCATCACACTTCCTGAACCACAAGAGCCCACTGAGGCAGTAACCGCGTCAATTAACCTGGTCGAGGGTCTTCCTCTCCTTCCTTGACTCTCCATCCTTCCCAGTATCATGTCCTTCTCCAAGGACTAGCCCCTTCTAGCAACATGCCCAAAGTATGTGAAGCGAAATCTCATCCATTCTTGCCTCCATAGAATACTCCAGCTACACTCTATCCTGGACGTATCTGTTCTCTTTTTTTAATTCATTA